GAGACCGTTTTCATGACAGGCGTCGTTATGAAGAGACGGCCTTCTGGGGTTGAGGCGATTCGAGGTAGTGCAAAGCTTACACGAGCCGCAGAGGGGGGCGCATCCTCGGCGGCCAGGGGAAGTAGGGCGGTCCCCGCGGGGGGCTACGACTCTGGCCCAGATGTCGACCCTGAGGAGGTACGGGCCTTTCTAGAGAGGAATACTCGTGTGGAGGTAAGGACGGAGGGTCCTAACCGGCACATAGTCATTCCTGTGGACTACGACCTTTTGGCCAACTCGGAATAGGCAATATCATCCTTTGCTCCCCTATGCGCGGCTTCTGAAAACACGGTGCTATAGGCGATGAGCGATGCAGAGTTGTTATTGGGTATATCCAGCTTGGCTCTACGAGTAAGTGCTTTTTAATGTTAGGGATTTGCTTCGCATGTTTAATTTGCTCATACTGACTTCTTTCTTTTGCATGTCAGACTCTTATCATGGGGATCGAGCGTGACCGGAGGGAGGAGCGGAGGACGACCGTTTTTAAGAAGATGACTTCCAAATATGGGGAGTATCGTACTAAGCACCGGACTCTGGCCGACTTCCTCAACCAGGATGGTGAATTTTAGTCGGTTTGTGATGGGATTAATAGAAAGAAGATGAGTTGACGAAGAAAGACGGGGAGCTAAGGGAGAAGGATGATGAGGTAATGAGAGCCATCGGTAGGTGTAGCGAGCTTGAGACAGCTTTACAGGCCATGGAGGACGAGCTCGAGGTGAGCAAGGGGGTGATGGCTGAGAATGCTGACCTTCAAATGCAGGTGGTGTCCTTAACTGCTGAACTTGGGCAGAGGGAGGCGAAGGCTGTCGATCTAAGGGGCGAATTAAGCACCAAGGTCGAAGAATTGACTCGTGCCGAGAAAGGCAGAGTGACCGCTATGGCTGAAGCGGCAGCCTTAGATGATGCCCTCCGCATTTCTAGGTCTGAGCGAGATAATGAGGTGGAGACATCGGCGCTTAAAGTGGCGAGGTTAGAAGAGCGGATCCAGGATCTAGAGGCGGAGTTGTCTGGATTGAACGAGCTCGTTTCCTTGAAGGCCGAGGAGGTACTGCGGCAGTCACAACCATCTACGTCTTATACTTCTACCGATCCCGGTGTGCTGTGGGAGTTGTATGAGAAGTGGGTTCACGCTGAGGCTTAACTCGATGTGTATAATTCTTTGAAAGCCGTCGGGAAAAATTCCGAAGTAGAACTCGAGGGCGTCCGTGTCAAGGCAAGTGCGGCCCGTGAAGCTTGTGGTTACACCCCTGGTACGCCTGGTGGGGATGATGTTGATGATGATGCGGATAGGCTCGCCTCCGATTCTTGGTATGATGATGAGTACGCCGATGGGGATGACGCGGCGTGAAACCGTCGTACTTAGTTTTTATTTTGCTTTGCTATTTTTGTGAGGGCGTCTTTGGGCCCTTTGTAAAAAGTTTTGTAATTTGACAGTTGTAATGGAACAGCTCCCTTTTTTCTATGTATTTCTTGATTTTCGTTCTCTTTTCTTTTTGCTCTGTGGGGAAGTCCTGATTTTCTGATGAGATCGACGTTCGATGCGGTCGAACGTTGAAGATTTCGAATGAGGTCGAATATTAAGTAGTTCGAGCGGGGTCGAATGTAGAGTAATTCGAGCGAGGTCGAATGCAGAGTAATTCGAGCGAGGTCGAATGCAGAGTAATTCGAGCGAGGTCGAATGCAGAGTATTTCGAGCGAGGTCGAATGTAAAGTAATTCGAGCGAGGTCGAATGTAAAGTAATTCGAGCGAGGTCGAATGTCAAATAATTCGAGCGAGGTCGAATGTAAAGTAATTCGAGCGAGGTCGAATGTAAAGAGTAAAAAGACTTGGTGGAGAGTAAAGATGCTGCTTTATTTCATTCATTGGAGAATATTACATGTTTCTGTTTGTTTCATACATATATTAGAGAAGTTCCCATGTATCCAGTCCCTTCATCATTCGGCCTGGAGAAGTAGTCGGCAGGCGGGGCGATGAATTATACTTGAACTTCGAGACGTCCCCTTTGTCGCCTCATTAAAAACCTCCCCGATAAGACCCAACTGGGTTAAAACCCGGCTGAGGGAAAAAGAGTACGATGTGGAGGGCGTCTGTTTTCAGAAGTTCAAGTATTTGAGATGGGCGATGTTCCAATTGTTTTGTAGTAGCTTTCCCTCAATTGTTTCTAGTTGGAATAATCCTTTGTTTGCCGCTGCCGTGATTTTGTATGGTCCGTCCTAATTGGTTCCTAGTTTGCCTTCTCTTGAATCTTTGCTCGCTTGTGTTTTGGTCTTGAGTACATAGTCTCCAACTTTGAGTGGTCGCACTTGTTGCCGCTGCTTGTTGCTTTTGGGATACCATTCTTATGTAAGCCATGTCTCTTCGCTCCTCTGCTTCGTTGAGGTCTTGTTTTCTGTTCTCGTCATTGCTTGGTCCGCTTTCATTGGAGTATCTCAAACTGGGTTCCCCGACCTCGGCTGGTATCATGGCATCAGTCCCATAGACTAGTGAATATGGCGTTTCCCCTATGCTTGTTTTTGCCGTGGTGCGGTATGCTCACAGTATTTCTGGTAGTAATTTCAGCCATAGTCCCTTGGCGTCCTCAAGCTTTTTCTTCAAGATATTCAGTATTGTTTTGTTGGAGGATTTAGCCTGGCCGTTACCGGCAGGGTGATATGGCGTGGAGAGTATTTGCTTGATGTGCCATTTTTCGAAGAACTCGGCGGTCTTCTTTCCGGTGAATTGGGGTCCATTGTCACAGATGATTTCTTTGGGGATGCCGAAGCGGCATATGATGTTTCTCCATATGAATGTGATAACTTCATATTCGCGTATTTGGGTGAACACACCTGCTTCTACCCATTTGGAAAAATAGTCAGTTAAAACCAAAAGAAAACGTACATTACCTTGCCCTGCTGGGAGGGGTCCGATGATGTCCATTCCCCATTTGATGTACGGCCATGGCGATGTAATAGAGTGGAGGTGCTCGCCCGCTTGGTGTATCATAGGAGCATATTTCTGGCACTATTTGCACTTCTTGACGTAATCGGCGGCTTCCTTCTTCATTGTGGGTCAATAATAACCTACTCGAATGAGGCTTCTGACGAGGGCTCAGTTGCCGGTACGGGCACCGCAGTGGCCTTCATGTACTTCCTCGAGCACACGTCTTGTTTGATTCGGCCCTAGGCATTTCGCCAAGGGGCCCCTAAACGTTCTTTTGTATAGGTCGTGATTTATGATGATGTACCTGGCCGCCTGCATTCGAAGCTTTTTGGCTTCCTTTTTGTCTGCTGGGAGTACTCCTTCCTGCAAATATGTTATAATACGGTTGCGCCAGTCCCAAGTCAAATTTACAGAGTGTACCTCGAGTTGGTCTATTGATGAGTGGAGGAGGGTGACCACGTTTTCCTTTGTGATACTTTTGGTGGCCGCTGCTCACTTGGCGAGATCGACTACCTCGATGTTTTGTGTTCGAGGTATCTGATCAGGTCGACATTCGTCGAATTCTGGTAGCAGTATATGAATTTCTATCTGGTACTTTTGTAGCCTCTGCTCTTTGATTTGGAAAGTCCTTGTGACTTTGTTGACAACGAGTTGCGAGTCGCATCTAAGGACGACTCGTCGCGCTCCGTATTTGAGAGCTAGCTTTAATCCTGCAATTACGGCCTCATACTCAGCCTCATTGTTAGTCATATCAGGGCACTGTATGGATTGGCGAATGACTTTGCCTGTTGGGACCTCGAGTACGAGCCCTAGTCCAAATCCTGAAGCGTTGGATGCACCGTCGCTGTATAGGACCCATAGGTCGGGTAGATTGGACGAGGTACGAGAAGTTTCCTATTCAACCTCGGTCATTATTTTGGCACTGAAATCGGCGACGAAGTCGGCGAGTACCTGCGATTTTATCGCTGTTCGCGGCTGATATGTTATATCATGCTCGCTCAATTCTATGTCCCATTTGGCCAATCTCCCAGATAGCTCGGGTTTATGCAGGATACCTCGTAGTGGAAAGGTCGTTACCACCGATAAGGGGTGGCATTGAAAATAGGGTCTAAGCTTCCGTGAAGCTATAACCAAGGCCAAGGCCAATTTTTCGAGGTGAGGGTACCTCATTTTAGCGTCGACAGGAGTTTTGCTAATATAATAGATCGGAGAATGCGTACCTTTATCTACGCGGACTAGTACTCCGCTTACCGCAACCTCTGATACGGCCAAGTATATCAGGAGGCGTTCACCGGGTTCTGCTTTGGCGAGTAGCGGGGGCGAAGACAAGTACGCCTTTAGTTCTCTTAGGGCCTTGATGCATTCTGCATTCCATTGGAGCCTGTTGTCCTTTTTGAGCCCGTTAAAGAATTTGTGGCATCTATCGAAGGATCGTGAGATGAACCTCGACGGGGAAGTTATGCGGCCCGTCAATTTTTGCACCTGTTTCTTGCTGGTTAACACTTTGGGTATTCTCTCAATGGCCTTGATTTGGTCGGGGTAGACCTTGATGCCTCTTTGTGACACCAAGAAACCGAGGAACTTGCCTGAAGTTACGCCGAAGGCACATTTTTCGGGGTTCAGCTTCATTTCGTATTGCCTTAGTATTCCGAAGGCTTCTTTCAAGTGGTCAATGTGATCTTCCTTCCTTTTCGATTTGACCAACATGTCGTCTATTTAAACTTCCATAGTTTTGCCGAGTTGGTCCTTGAATGTTTTGGTTACCAATCTTTGATAAGTCGCCCCTGCGTTCTTTAAGCCAAATGGCATGACTCGATAACAGTACGTTCCTTGATGGGTGATGAAGTAGTCTTCTCCTGGTCCTCTTCCTCTATGAGGATTTGGTTGTAACCTGAGTAGGCGTCCAAGAAGCTCAACAACTCGTGCCCTATTGTTGCATCAATGAGCTGATCGATATGAGGCAAGGGAAAGGAGTCTTTCGGGCAGGCCTTGTTTAGGTCCGTGAAATCCACGCACATCTGCCACTTCCCATTTTTCTTTTCTACCACGACCACATTGGGTACCTATTGAGGGTATTTCGATTCTCGGATTGAGCCATTAGCGACCAGTTTATCACTTCCTCAGTGACGGCCTCGTTGATTGCGGCATTGAATTTTCTTCTTACTTGTCGTACTGGAGGGTAGAAGGGATCGACGTTCAACTTGTGTGAGGTAACGTCTTTCGGAATACCAGGCATATCTACGTGGGAAAAAGCAAAGAGATCGGCATTATTGATTAAAAACTTGTGAAATTTACCTGGCTCGTAGAGCTTATGGCCTATATAAGCCTTTTTGCTGCTGTTGCTGCTGTCTAATTGGACGGGATCAAGATCTTCTATTGTTGATCCCGCAGCTTCCACGACGTCGGGGTCCTTGATAACGTCTTTCTGTTCGTTGAGTTTGGACCCCGACTTTGATAATTGCTATGCTTTTGAGTTTGTTCCTTTTAGTTGTTGAGTTAATGCACAATCTTGGGCGATGCGGTAGCATTCTTGGCTGTGCGATGTTCGCCTCGGATGCTGAATATACCCCACGGAGTAGGGAATTTGATTACTTGATACAAGCTGGACAGGATGGCCCTCATGGCGTGTATCCATGGTCGTCCTATGATTGCGTTGTAGGTTGTGTCCCAGTTCATGATATAGAACGTTGTTTCGAGGGTGACGCTCCCGGCCAGAACGGGCAGCATTATTTCTCCTGAGGTTCGCTCGACTGCACTGTTAAAACCTGTTAGTGTTATGCATCGTGGTGCTATCTTGTCCTCGAGTCGCATTTGCGCAAGAACTCGAGGGTGAATAATACACGTGCCGCTTTCGTCGTCTACCATTATTCTTATTACATCAGTATCTGAAATACGTAAAGTAATGACAAGAGCATCGGAGTGAGGAAAAATCAAACCGTTGGTATCTGACTTATCGAAGATGATACTTTCTCCGAGGTCATCATACCGTTCGTGGGTGATTAACTGCTTCAGTTTGTGTGTGGTGGTAAACTTTATGTGGTTGATTGCATCATATCTAAGGGATTCCTCGGTTCGGGCCGAAGAAGCAATGTCACTCGATCATTATCAAACTGACTCAGCTCCTTGTTCTCATTTTCCATTTCTTCCATTTTCTTCAGAATGGATTCAAGTGCATCGTTACCTGCGTCAACAGCAATGTGAGTGTTACCTGTTGGAGGAGCGGGTTGCTCGTCGGCGATCGTTGTGGTATCCTTCTGTGTGACGTCTCTATTTGCCCGCTAAGCGGGTTTGTCGAGTATGTTATTTAGAGTGTTGGTCAGCCACTCTTCCAGTAATTTCTTCACTGCTGATGGTGCTTCCTCAGTTGTGGACGTGGAAACTCCCCTTTTGTGCGAAGCGGTTACACTTCCACGAGGGGAAGGTGAATCACTCCGCCTGGGTGTAGCACTCGGCGTCTCATTCTCCTCGTCTCCTCTGTCATCCTCGTTGATGGTGTTTAAGATGTTGGTAGTGACACCCATTATTGCTTTCTGTCTTTCATCTCCTTTCTCTGTCATTGTTAGTTTGTGTAGAGGAGAAAAAGGTGGCTGTCCTTTATGATCTAGAAAAAACTAAAAAATTTAACTAAAAAACTCCCCACAGACGGCACCAAATTGGTTGACCAAAAAGTGTTAAACTTTTTGTTAAACTAATTAATGATGAAATGAAGGATGAATCTTAGTTAAAAATAATAAATTCTAGATCATAAATTGTAGGAAATCGGTCAGATGAACGACGTCTGATAGCGTTAAATAGAACGTTTGTATTCAATGAATGCTAATAAATATGATAACTTAAACATGCAATAAATGTAGATAATGACAATAAATGTAATGAGAATGAATCTACCACCCAATTATTATATGATTTGGATGGTTCTTTCTCCTTGCAGTTGTTGATACCCAATTTTTCCTCATATATTTTTAAAATAGCACATATGCAGTTATAAGCATGCATAAGAATTTTTATAATTTTTCTATAATTTTAAAAGCTCCGAATCAATTTATTTCTTCTCTTTTTTAAGTATCCAATAATTATCCTTCAAATTACTTTTGTGATGATTTAGTCATCTAAATTCTTTAGTTATGCCAACATAGTGTTTAAATATATTTAGTGCATTTTTGTAATTATATTTACATTTTTAGGCTAAATTGCACATCTTTGCGATAATAGCCCATACTAATGCATAATTACATTATTGATGCATAAAATGGTCTTTCATATTTTTAAAATGGTATACAAATTTTAGATCATTTTTAGTACATGAATTTTTTTTTTGGAACTCATTTATTATTTTTATAAATTATGTGGTTATTAAAAGTGGCTATTTAAAATCTGGCCTATTTTTATTTCAATTTTGGTCCTATTTCAACCCAATACCAGCCCAATTTCAATTTAAATTTACCCAGCCCAAACCCTAATACCCGATCCGGCCCCAAAACCCTTTCAATCTCGGTTGTTGATCATAGAGATCAACGGCCACAAACAGCCCCTTCCTTTTTTAGTCCCAAACGACCCTCCCAAACCCTTCCATTTCCCACCATCCGCCGCCCTGAAATCCCTCTCCTCTCTCAAATGCTCTCAAACCTAACCCTAATTGGACCACATTGTCACTCATCTATGGCTATCTATGGTGGTTTCTCACCATCCCCCAGGCCTCTAGTATCCTCTCTCACGTTGGTATTGCCATCTCCAGGGTCCTCAAGGGACCAGGGTTAGTTGGCTTGCATCTATGGCCCCTTTCTCGACTGTTTCAGGGTGTCCCAGTGTGATTCCGAGTAAGATCGTCCTACATCGACTATGATCTATGGGTTTCTAAGCATGTTTCTTCACCTCTGTGTTGTTCTCCTCGAAACCCTAATTTTTTCTTCTGAACCTCTTAGATTTGTACAGATCTGAGATGATTTTGGACTTATTTCATATGAGTTTTACAATAACCTTGTGATTCTTTACAAGAATCGTATGATTTTCGAGTGATTTTTTCATCTTTCTCTAAACTAGGGTTTCCTGAAATTTCTTTTTCCAAAACATTTGGTAATTTTGAGTGTTTAATCTCCTGTTTCTATATGTTTTAACCGATTTTGTTAGGTTTGCTCTAATTTCAACTCGTTTATACTAAAAGCCCTAAAAATTTTCGACTCTTTTGTTTGGTTTCTGAGTTACTTGTGTACTCACTGTGTTCTTGCCTTGGTTCTTGTGATTTCTCTTTAGCCATTTGCATGTCTCGTGGTTTTCCTTTCCTAAAATGCCTCTAGTGAGTTCCTTAGTTCATATTTTACTGATTCCACATGTTTGTGTTCCTTCTGACTATTCATGATCAGACCTATATCTTTCTCCTTAAATCAGTGTCGTTTCTTGATTTAACAATTTGTTTCGTTAAAATTATGTGTCGAATCCTGACTATTCATCTCTTACCTTATTTTTTCTGCTAAACTTGCTGACTCTTTACGTGATTTTCTCTTTGGTTGAACCCTTGATTATTCCGAAGTCCTTATTTCCTGGTTTGATTTGAACATTTTTCATTAATAACACTTTTGATTCTTACCTCTCTACTCGGTTTAATTGAACTGCTTACCTTAATTAATTTTCCCTTGCCTTATTTGTTATTTGTTGATTCTTACTGATTGTTTCCTTAATTGAAACCCTTGTGCATTCACCCCTAATTACCTACTCTTTACTCGATTTCCTTCCTTAAGTATCTGTCCCGCTTTTACCATTGATTATCCCTTGATTAAAGGAAAGACTTACTGATTTTACATGTAATTGATTCCCCGATTTCTCTAATTGCTACATGATTGATTCTTTACCTTATTTTGTTTAACTCTTGATTGCTATATAAACTCCCTCCTATTCTCACTTCAGACACGAACATTAGTTCACAAAAGCACACTTACACTCTAAAGCTCTCTTTTCTTCTCTGCTACTTGTGATATTCACTGGTCTAGCCGGTTGAAAGCCAAGGCTAGATATTGGAACTACATCTGCTTTATATTCTGCACTCTTTTCTTCAACCGGTATGTCTCTAGTTAAATTTTGAAACCCAAAACCTATTGTTTCATTCCTGCACTAGTTTATCAGCTATGAATTCAACCTGTCTTCCTGCTTACTTCTTTGCCTAGCATGTCTAAACTCTGTCCTGTTCAATGTGTGATTAGCATGTCTACACTTCACCTAGTTATCTGATACTTCACCAGCCTGTTTGTGAATATCTGTTCAATCCCCTAATTATGTGATCATGTTGGGCTTTCTGTATTACATCTGTGATCTATGTCTTAACTATTTACTATCCATGACTAGCCTGCTAAGTCTCTAAGACCCTAAGTGTTTTACGCAGTTATTGACTATATGTTTCCTCTATACCCTATCCATGTACCCCCAATGTGACTCTTATGTGCCCCAATCCCTTTATCCGCATGTGAGATCTGTTTGTTGATTGTTTCTGAATCTGGATGTTTTATAACCAATATATTGGCTGCTGTTTTCAAAAGAGTTTTGGTACTCTTCTCAAAATGTCTTTTACCACCAAACTATTTCCTGTTTCAGAAAACCTTTTCACTCTTAAAGTCATCTCTGTACTATTTTCAAAACCTTTTTAAAACTATGTCAAGCACTCTCACTTTACTCTTAGATTACTAGGTTCTGCCGCTCTGATATGTGTACTGCCTTGAGACCCATGAGATCTCTCTGAACTCTGGCATATCAGGGCTGGCAGTTCCATACTGCACAATCATCAGCTACTATTTGAGAAAAGTCTGGGTGTGAGCACTGCCCGTGATCCTTGAGGTCCTTAGGGAACTCTGACACACTTATACATGAAATTGGCTATGGAACTTTGGCATTTGAGACTACTGGAGGCTTGGGAAATCATTTGGGCCTACTGCAGGCTCCATATAGCTTAGCTTCTATTTTATTTATATAATTTATATTCATTTCTTGGTCTGTAATAATTATTGTAAACAAATATTGGGGTGATTAGTGAAAAGGGGTGGGTAGTTGCATGTTGTGGGTAAAATCGGGTAGATAACCTGCCTATAGGGTCTATTTCAATTCAAAAAATGTGTTTGTCAGATAATATGCCTATGGGACCTGCTTTGGTGAATTTTGCATGCTTTACTTTCACACAATTAGAAGCCATGCCTAAAGGATCTAAATCAGCTCTATAATTAGATATCATGCATATAGGGTGTAAAGTAATTGAAGTTCAGTTTCCATTACAGCATGTATTCAAATTCATCTCCTTAGAAATCATGTCTATAGGATTAAAACCGGCTTTAATGGAAATCATGCCTATAGGATCTAAAATCGGCCTAACTTTAACTCACGCCTGGAAGTTCTGAATCAGATTAACTAACCTACTTTTTTCTCAATCAATGTCAGTAGAAAGCATGCCAGTAGGATTCAAATCGCCTGTTTAAAATTGTTTACTGTTTTATTGCATTCCGGATCAATAATAGATACCATGCTCATAGGACATCACTACGCCTAGGCAAGCCTATAGGGCGATTAAAATTCTGCAACTATAAAACCATGTTCTGCTATCTGCGATTGCTCATATTCAACGGGTCTAAAATCAGTAGGCAAGCTGAATAGGTCTTTGATACTTTGGTCCTAATTTAATACTATATACTCTCAGCTCACCTAGATATCATGTTCTAAGGTTTTTTTTCTTAAACAGTTGTTTGAGACGTGCACTTATTTGTTCTGCTTGTGGAGGTAAACTGTGAGCCTTTAGTTGTTTCCCCTTCTAAATGTAGTCCTAATTGTTTTGATTGACGCTTAGACTTTTCTCCTTTAAACACCTTAGGATGGTCTAGAACTACCCAAAT